TATATACGTTCCTCTGCATTCTCCATGAATTTCGTAACTTGCTATGATCACGGTAAAGAAAAAAACTGTGGTTAGTTTCAAGAGTTTGCTGGAGTCTGATCAAAAACATGTCTCAAGAAACACTTTTACGTCAGTTTTTCGTTTATTTTCACCGCTTGTAGCGATAGAATCAGACAAATTAGAACTATCATGTGTGCTATCAGAAAGCATTTTAGCACAATTTTACTGAAAGACGAGTTTTTCATTGTCATGAATATTAATTTATGCAAATGAGACGAATATTTCAACCAATTGTGTCATGCAACTCCCCCTGGTCTCATTGTACTTCTTATACAATAACATTATAACTCAATTCAAATTACCGACTGTGTAACAGTATGCAGCACAATTAACAACCACCTAGTGCTTCTCGACCAATTAGAATGTTGCATGGTACGATTTATTTACAACACTGGACTTGCATACTGTCCCTTGTTTATTTTTTAGTTTTTCAATTAAATAAAATATTGGAGTGTATAAATAAAAGTCCCTTGTTTATTTCGCTGTAACCCTGTAAATGGTTACATGCCCATGATATTTTATTTTATTTAACACAAAAAAAAACGAGAATGTATGCAAGTCAAATACAAGACTTGTGCATCTATTATGGGATTTGGGTATTGTTAAGTTTGTTAAATATTGTTTTTGAAAATTGAATTTAGAAAGCCATAACAGCAAAGAATTGTTAAATGGTTAATACCACAAATGTCTTACGACTTAATTATTAATTTCATTTTTTTACTTATTTATTTTCTGTTCTAGGAATAAACTCTGTGGACAAAATATAGGAAACAATAAACGAAATCGGTATATTTGGTTTACAACTAGCCCTGGCTGCTCTTGCGTTTTTCAATTTCTTAAGCGAAATCATTCAGTTTAATTTAGCAACATGTAAGCTACATTGCAGGTGAAGTTAATAGAGTGGAGAAATTTCTTTCGTGCAAACTGGTTGGTACTGACCTAAGTTTTTTCAAATTAATACATCCAGTCTGTGCTCGATATATTTAGCTTTATTCTTGGGATAACTTCGGTTTCATCCATATCTTAGTTTTCTTTATAATTTTCTTGTGATTATTAATGAGCACCAAAGCTCTTAACCGACAAGTATTTTAGCTGATCAATTTTGATTACATTTTAACCAGAATGGTTTATTGTGAATGAAAAAACACAGATTACAATTTTATTACAGTGCCAAAATTAGTCTTTGAACAAATCGAGTCTGGTATTCATAGCAACATGTTCCATTTAACGACAGGCAAACTAAAATACAACTGGTGTACCGTAGAAGGCTTCATTCGGAGATTGCTGTAAATATCGACACGTCACAGGCATGAACGCTTTAAATATTCAGTAATATATGCTGATTAAATCGAGGGAACACAATCTGGTGACAATCCTCTTATGTTGTCCTAAAACCAATTGATAAATAATATATCATGTCATAGAATACGGCTATCCTCGGGGCGGAGCTACGTCACAAAATGTTTCACGCTGCTAAGACGCGCACCAATGTACCATGTATTTCCATGGGCTCTGTGCGAGCTGCTTTGGAACGCCAGAAGAGACGGTGAAAACAGCTAAATTCGAGAAAACAGCGCAAAATTGTGAATTGAATACTAAAACAAACGTTATTGATTTTGTATTTTAAATTATATTTTAGTGACTTCGACATATTTGTATTGCCTTCAATATGCATAAACAATTTACGGGTGTGAATTGTAGTAACATCATTTATTTTAGTCTGTAATTTGATATTATATATGTAAACTCACATTCTCAAATTCCATAACACGCGTGCCATATATTAGTTTTGCTGTCAGCATATTCCATGGCAACCCTTTAATATGACTGCAGTTCTTTTTTTTACATTACGTCCACATTCTGTTTTGACTCCAGGTTGTAGATTACAAATTATTGAATTCCCATTTAGATTTTCGATCATTTTTCGAAGAAGTAAGATTGACTTAACGCTCCTTGTGATATAAGATTTATTGCAGCAGAAACTGAGTAAATTACTCTACGGAAATAAATAAATATACAGAAATACGGGACAGATAAAAAACCTCAAACCTTCGCAGTTAGTCAGAGCTGCCGGGTTTATTTTCGCTTCCGACTCGAATTGATTGATACATAATACGTTATGCGATAAACACTCGCGTCTGCCGATGTTAACCTAAGAGGCAATGTCGTGGGATTATGTATATGTATTATGTGGGATTATGTATAAGTACAAATTTGGCACATTGCATTGCACCAAGTGTGATTTACATCTATTTGAATAATTCTCTTCCATAATCTCATAAACACTGTAGTAAAATCAAATACACATCGTAGATGATGCTGGTGAGTTGAAATCAATATTCAAAATCATTTCCTTTATTTCATTTTTATTTCTTAGACAAAGCTGGAATTTTGAATCCGAGAATTTCATAATCTAACCTATAGTAATTAATGAGTTGATCAATAATTTTGTGTGGCAGAGTTGACATTGTTTCCTTGAATCTGACGGAGCCTGTTCTCTCCTGAACTTCTGGATAATGGAATAAGTCACCTACTGCCAGCTGTACAAAGTAAGGAGCATCTTGAGCGAGGTGGTCCATGTGTCCAACAAACGTGTAATTATATGAACAAACATGAGAGACTAGGTATTGACGTTCCCAGTGCCAAGATCGTGCTGGTTTCGTGTCATAATCAATAATCATCTGTGCAAACTGACTAAACGTCAAGTACGGTTTATTATTCATAGTAGCATTCACGTGTCCATTTCTCATATACTTATAATATTGATTGAAATAACTAGTTGACTGCGGTGTATCGGGAGAAAATACAAAGTGGTAATATGAAACAATTCGTTCTAGCGGTTCTCGGAAGAACACTCCTCTAACGTACTGATCAATCTCGGATGACGTCAGAGATGACAAGATTCTTCTGTTTTCGGCATCATCAGATGTTGGATCGATTTCACGCATCACTCTTCTCCAAGTACGTGACCCCACTTTAGATATGAGTTTGATTATAACTTTGTACATATGCGATACTAATAAAGAATCTACATGCGAGTTGTTATAGACAATATTGTGTTTAGTACATTCAAGTGCAGCCCTTTCTAATCTTTCCTGACTGGCTTGTCTTGGGTCATAGGGGTTTTTTACTGGATGTTTTACGGAAACCTGGAAGAGATTCAGATATAGCACTACTAGATGACTATATTCAGTTCAATATTACATTGTGAGCTAACATAATGCTGTCTAAGTGAACTAAGACCATGAACAACAAAGTAAAGACTACTTTCAGTGAGAGTATTAGTTCAAATGTTGTTATATCTATTGTGTACTGGTATGCGTTTGAGATAGTCATTTGTCGATGTTTTTGATAACACTTATACTAGTGCATCTATTTTGCGTTTTGTGTATTCAATTAACTTTGTTGAATGCAGTCTTTCAAACTTGAATTTAGAAAGCCATATATAGCAGCAAATAATGGTTAAATCCAATCTGCTTCATCAATCAAATGTTTCTAGCCACATTTATTAAATACGTGGAATCTACGCATTTAATAAATTCACAAAACCCAAATCGAGGTTTTGCTCTGCCCTGTTGCCATTCAGAAAGTATCGAAATCAATCTGAAAAATCGAAAATACACATATAATATTTGCCAAACCATGTATATTTATTTGTGATCCTGTATATATAGAAATTCGAAAGCAAAGTTATGTGCTTTATTGGAATAAATATAGTAATGATTGATACATATTTTGGGTCACGCTTTGTTTGTGGGGACACATGTAACTACGAGCGTTAGTCTAAATACTATATACGTATGATGCATACATCAATGAAAAGGTAAATCGTTTTATCAAATCAGTGAAAAGGTAATATCAAAGTATAACATCAAGAATAGTTACCCTATGCTTTATTGTTGTCGTGTTCTTCACTGCATTATTTATAGTAGCACGTGGAACATTGTTTTTGTCTCCGATTTCTGGAATGAACAATACAAACACAAAACAAAATAAACAACAACAATGGCAAATCGACGGGGATAATCCTTCTATATTTAGGCTGACTCACACTTATGATTGCTTGTTCATTATGTTAAATGCGTTTTTTTTATTTCAATTACACACACTACGCGGACATCGAAATATACATTCACCAAAGAATCCCAAAACTCGAGATTCGGGAAATGTTGGTTAGATAGATAGAGATATATAGTATTTTGTTATTTTGTTCCTCAATTCAGTCATGTAACACCAATATGATTTGTTCTCATTTGTCCTGTGACATTGTAAGAAAACCATTATTAGTATTAATATATAATGTAGATTGTTAATGTTGTTAATATCAAAAATAAACTGTCAATGAACAGGTGAGATCAAAAATATATTATTTTTGTTGTGTTGTATATTCCAACGTTTCGAATGTGATGCATTAAGTAATATATTAAAAATGCACTTACTTTTAATAAAAGTCAAATATTTTTGAGGAAGTCTCATCACTGTTATCATACCACCTAGCAGAATGATGAATACCAGTTTCTTTGTATTCATG